GATTTATATACAAAGAAATATATGTAGCAATGTTTGATGTTGAGTGTATGACGTCACAGACTCCAAAAAATAATCGTAAAAATATCATACTTTCATACTGAATATCGAGAAAACACTTCATACAGTGATTATTGGAGCTTTAAAGAGTATTTTTAGGAAGTTTCAGCTGAATCCAAGTTTGAGCGATTTTCGTCGTAGTAGCACTTTAAAGATTATTCCATTGAAGTTTCAGCCAAATTAAATTTCTGAAGATTTTCGTGCTAGTCCCCTTTTAAGCTGAAGAATTGAGCTCATTCAATGGCACATTCTCTCTTCCCCGACCCTGGAGAAAGTGGTGTGGTGAGCCTACCAGGGACTGTGAAGGATATTTTAGATATGCTAGCTCCGACGATGGGACATTTTAAATGAATTTTAAGGAAGTTAGTGAGGGAGGAATCCGAGGGCTAATAGTATGTGTAGAAAGTGAAATCYTTGATATGCAATGATGTACACTGTAAGCCTCGAGTATCTCTGTTCCCCGACCCTGGAGAAAGTGGTGTGATGAGCCTACTAGGGGCTGTGAAGGAGATTTAAGACATGCTAACTCCGACGTTGGGACATTTTAAATTAATTTTAACAGGAAGTTAAAAGGGGAGGAATCCGAGGGCTAATAATGTGTGTAGAAAGTGAAATCCTTGATATGCATTGATTTACACTGTAAACCTTGAGTAACAAATATTCTTTTACTGATATAAAAGAGAAGAAAAATCTAATTTTATCTATGTTCTACAAGGACCATTTATACTACTAGCAACGAAAAACACAAAAAGGTATTCACTATTAACACCGTAACTTCTACAAGCTAGGATCAAACAAGGAATTAAACCATTAACAATAGCGGAACTAAATAGGCATTCAACTAAATTTCTGAATATTTACGGTTGGTTTATCGTGGYTTAGATGTATTAACCGAACCCAACGTTTTGACCTAAACTTAGTAGAAATTATAATAAAACGACATGTAAACAAGTGTTGCCGTAACTCACCCTGATCCTCGACTCGGGGCCATGGATACTTCTTAAACCAATTTAAATGACGAGAAATTCTAATATCCACGAGATAACACTTCTATCTACAGCATGGACTTGAAATTTCTTAAAAGATATATGCGCAAAAGGCAAATAATCGCTTTATTTTGCCCCAAGATTAAGCCTCTAAAGTCACGAGATTCGAGAATGAAATAATAAGAAACCGAGCCTTGCTATGGTAAGACGAGATCTGGGTTGAATATGTCGGACCACAGGGTGCCCATTCAAGTGGTTAGCCATTGAGGTCATTTTACTACGAGTACCAAGATGCTTTGCGAATTTTATTCTTATTCAAATATGTATTACCTCACGATAATAATAAGTCAATCTATTTATTTATTTACATTCATATTTTAACAGGAAGCTTCTTCACTTATAAATGTGATTTTCAAGAAGGTCCTGATAAATAAGATATTTTCACAATAATATGCAAAAAGAGAATTTGGAGGTTGAATATCGAAACCAGCTCGTTACTGAAAAGTCAACATCATTATTACTAGTATGTGAAATTGTAAATGATGAAAAGTTCAAATTATTTAGGTTTACAGGTTTAAAAGAAATTCGATTTAAAATGGTTGATGTTAGAACATTGTTTAAGAGTGTCACTCAGATTGTTCCATTCTTTCATGGCTTGAAACTGCATTGTTTGTTTTCCCCAGTTAGTTTTGGGTCGTGGTAAGCGAAACTCGCTTCCATGTCTCGTGTTGTAGCCATGCTCATTGAGCTTATTCAGCTTTAGATTTGATGATAATAATCTGTTTTTACATTTGAATATATGTAAACATCGATGGTAGTATCTGCGCTTACTGAGTTCCATCCAATTAAGTTCTTTCCGATCATCAGATGCTGAGGAGTATGGAGGACGATCCAGGATGATCGATATCTTGGCCGCTTTGTTGTGCAGGGTTTGAAGAGATTCCATAAGCGTGATATTATCTTTATCTCCCCAAACAATATCACCATAATCAAAAAGCGGTAGGACCAAGCTGTTGAAATACAAGAGTCTAGCGAATTTAGGCAAAAGATGTTTGATTCGCTTCAGGAGACCAAGGCGTTTGTTGATTTTGGTCATCTGTTTTTCAACATGAGCAGACCAAGACATATTGCTGGAAAAGACCACACCAAGGTACTTGAATTCTTGAACTCTCTCGATGTCTTTGAGGTGGACCTGTATGGAGATGGTGGAGATGTTGGTCTTTCTCTTGTTTCCAAACAGCATGGCTTTAGTTTTGGTTGCATTCAGGGTCAAATGATTGATCTTAAACCAATCACCAACCAGCTTGAGATCTTCATTAAGCTCTTATCTTCTATGTCAGGAACTGAGGAGGAGAAATAGTACAAGACTGTATCATCAGCGTATAGGGATACTTGAGAATGGCGGACAACATCCGGAAGATCGTTGATGTAGATGATGAACAGAAGAGGCCCAAGGATACTTCCTTGAGGTACACCAATGTTGCATGGTAATGGCTGTGATACTTCTAAGCCACAAGTAGTGCGTAAGCATCTTGATGACAAGTAAGAGTCAAACCATTTGAGATCGTTGTCACGAACACCAGCTGGAGATAGTTTATTCATTAGAATCGTGTGGTTTACTGTGTCAAAGGCTTTTGACAGATCCAAGAAGACAGCTCCACATAGTTTACCGTTATCCATGTTACGTAGAATGTCATCTGCAAGGCTGGCTAATGCAGTTGATGTTGAACGTTTAGGTCGAAAGCCAAACTGCTTGTCAGAAAGTAGATTGTTTGTACTCACATGTTCGTAGAGTTGCAGGTGGACAGCTCTTTCGAGGATTTTGCTCAAAGTCGGAAGAATAGAGATGGGTCGATAGTTGGTGGCATCAGTTCTATCCCCAGTTTTAAACAGGGCTATGACCTTAGCACATTTCCAAATACAAGGAAACGAGTGGAGCTTGATAGATAAGTTCAGTAGATTAGTAACTGGTTGAGCGATCACATCTGCAGAATCCTTAAGAAGGCGAGCACTGATGTTGTCCAATCCAATCGACTTGTTGGTCTTGAGAGATTTTAATTGATTGAGAACAAATGTTTCATCGACTGGACTTAGATGGAAACTTTGATCTGGCTCAGAAGTGATATTGGGTGAGAAGACAGGAATAAGAGAGGTGATTTTCTTTGAAAGAAGTTGACCAATGGAAGCAAAGTGATTGTTCAAGACGTCGACGATGGACTTTGACTCCAGATATTGAACACCATTGGAGACTATGCAGTTGGGAATAGAGGCCTGATCCTGCTTCCGGCAGGTAGCTTTATTGATTGCTTTCCACAGATTGTTCCCGTTTCCCTTGCTGTCTTTGATCAGGTCGATGTAGTACTTTGACTTACTGCGCTTTATATCGCTATTAACGGTGTTACGAAGATGACGGTACTTTCGCCAATGATAGGAAGAGCCAGTTCTTGTAGCTTTACGATGATGGAAGTCACGGTTGTGCATAGCTTCTTTTATTTTTGAAGTCATCCATGGACATTGGATACCATTGATTCGCCGTTTCTTGACTGGAGCATGAGCATCAGCCACATCGAGAAATAGTTTATTCTTCAAAAGACATAGGTTCAAAATGGCGGCACTTGTCAGCCTCCCGTACTCTCCGGGAAAGCTTGTCTATATAGCTTTCTTGGTCATCGTAGTGACTCAACTTAAAGACCAATTCTTATATAAAGATTCAAATCATCTTTTGAGCAAAGCTGTTAATCTACAAGTCGCTATGGAAATTTCTAATCCTATGGTTGTATTTGAAAATACAMGACACGTTGCACGAAAGAGTACAAGGACTGCTGCTTTGGAACCAGTAACTCCTGACCAAACCCTGCTACGAGCTCTTAGTTTGGTACAAGAGCTTGCCTTGGTTAATGTGCTTCTTTTATGTAACGACATTGCATTAAATCCAGGACCAGAAGTAAAAACCTGTGCTGCTTGTCTTAAGAATTTTAAGAAAAGTTATGCTCGACTTCGCTGTTGTGAATGTGACTGTGTTTTCCACCGTGAATGYACAATTGCRGAGTTTGAAACTACCAAGATWTGTCATCTTTGCCAGCTTCCACCACTACATGATACAAAGATGAAGGAAATTATGAAGCTGCGTGGATTTAAAATTTTTCATCAAAATATTCAGAGTTTGAATCGAAAAATGGATGTTTATTTATGCAACAACTCAAGTTGGGCGTTCATTTACTGGCTCTTACTGAAACTTGGGCCAAGAATGATATATTCGACAGTGAATTTGATCTACCCGGCTACAGGCTGTTCAGACGAGATAGAGGATCTAAAGGTGGAGGAGTAGCTGTCTATGTTAAGAACGAAGTAATGGTCACAAGAAGATGCGATCTAGAAGATACGACTATTGAAGRACTTTGGCTTGAGATAACTATGCCAAAAACCCGTGGATTTTTGGTGGGCACATKTTATAGACCCCCAAACTCTTCAAATTACCACGACAAGGAATTTATGGTTAAAATGGATAACATCCTTGGAAATGCTGTCTCAGAAGGAAAGGAGGTCATAGTCGTAGGTGATTTTAATTGTGACTTTTTACCAAATAGAACTCAAGTTCCAGAATGTAAACAACTTAAAGCGCTCCTTCGTAGTTTAAATTTTAAACAATTAATTAAGGAAGCGACTAGAATAACTCAAGACACCAGCACTCTTATAGATCTAATTGTGTCTAATATTCCCCAGAATATTAGGGATTGCGGGGTAATAAGTACTAGTTTAAGTGATCATGAATTGGTTTATCGTATTCGCAAACTCAATTGGAAAAAAGCGCCAGCTCAGATCAAAACTTTCAGAAATTATGCTAATTATGATCAGGTAAAATTTTGTGAGGAGTTAAAAGGGGTAGATTTGCATCCTATTGATGGTGGCGAAATTGAAAGACCTGTTGATRATCTCTGGAATGTGTTTAAGTCCGCTTTTGTTTCAGTCGCTGACCGCCACGCCCCTATTATTCAGAAACGTATTCGTGGCATGGACAATTGTCCTTGGTTGAATAGTGACATAAAACGCGATATTCGCCATCGCGATTATTTCCTTAAAAGGCAAGGAAGACTGGTAATTCTGAAATGTGGCTTAACTACCGTTGCTATAGAAACCGTGTTACTAATAGCATAAAGAGGGCTAAAGAGGCATATAATAGACGTCTGCTTTCAGATAGTAGCAATGATCCAAATGCTTTTTGGAAAACAGTTAAGAAGATTATACCTGGCGAGCGAAAAGAGGTTTCTCCCAATATTAAAATAGGGGATGATATTTGTAGGGATAAGCATGTTATTGCTTCCGCTTTTAACAAGTATTTCGCTGGTGTTGTAGCTCGTCTTTTAGATCCCATAGGGGATTTAGTAACTACTATTCGCAGTACGTTTAATGTGAAAACATTCAGTTCACCTCAAGTGAATCGACCACCATTTCAATTTAAGAGGGTTTCTGAGAGTTTTATTCGTTTGCAGCTTCGAAAGTTGAAAAACGGGAAGTCTGTTGGTCTTGATAATATTCCTCCACGGCTACTCAAAGACGCTGCTGACATTGTTACCAAGCCAGTAACAGAAATAATTAATGCATCTTTACGTCAAGGTAAAGTTCCTGACGACTGGAAAAGTGCATGTATTATTCCCCTGTTTAAGACAGGAAGGGCTGAGGATATGGATAATTACAGACCTATTTCTATACTTCCTACTACGTCTAAGTTGTTAGAAAGGGCCAGGGCAGTTCATGCCCAGCTTTATGAATATCTGTCCCAGCATAAGATCTTAAGTCCATATCAATGTGGTTTTAGAAAGGCGCACTCGACCGAGACTGCGGCATTATCATTTGCAGACACTATACGTAGGAATATCGATCAAGGTCATATGACAGGGGCAGTTTTTATCGATTTCCGTAAGGCTTTCGATAGTGTTGATCACGCTATACTGCTGCATAAGTTGTCTGCCTTGGGAATTATGGATCGAGAATATAATTGGTTTGAAAATTACCTCTATGGTAGAACTCAGATTGTTCGTTTTCAAGAAGTATTATCAGAATCTGAGCCCATTATTTCTGAGGTGCTCAATACTCGGTCCTCTCCTTTTTGTTATCCATATCAATGATTTGCCAGTCGTCGCTAGGCAATGCAGCATACTTAT